CAAAGTTGCGGGCCTCAGTGGCTGCCACTTCTGACCGCAGCCGGCTCAGGGCTAGTTAGGCCCGCACTCCTCAGCCTCTCCCGGGAGCTCCTGCAGCCCCAGCGGAACTCAGGGAGTCTATTTATGAAGTCTCCAGACCTTGGGCCGGCGCGCGTGACTTGGCACTTCAGGCTCCATGCTCAGAATCCCGCTGATAGTTGGGACGAAGCGGGCTCGGTCGCTCAGGGCGAGGCCTGGGTCTAGGTGAAGAGGTTGCAAGCCAAGATCTCATTCCACTTGGAGCAGTAAAATGGGGAGAGGCGAGCCTTCGCTTTTCCCTTTCTCTGCGCCTCTCTGCAGCCCCGGAAGAATGCATTCCCGGAGAGATGCCTGCCCAGGCCGCGCGGATCCCTCCAGAAACACCAACCACGCTGAGAGGTCTCCCTTTCTGCCTCTCCCCCTCTCTCCTCCAACTCTGAGACCCTGCTTCTCCGATATTATAATTTAAAGACATCTATTATCCGCTTTGTGCTGAAAAGAAAAATTCAACTTTTTTTTTTTTGTGCTGTTCTTCAAGGAAATTCGCTCCCTTTACAAGCCGAAAGCAGTGTCTATCCAGACAGAGCTGAACGGAGAGGTGGAGCAGGGTGTCTCCACCATCCCTGAGGAAACCCCAGACCCCACTCCACTGAGAAAAAAAAAATTTAATGTGTGGGTACTTTTAAAGAAACGTTTCCCTTTTCTCATGGCAGGCTGGGTCCAGCCATTGGGGCCAGCAGCCCGCTTAGCGTTCTGCTCTGTCCCAGGCCCTGCAATATTTATTGTGTCTACAGGCAATGACGTTGGGTGGGAGAGGAGGGTTGGGATCAGGGACTGGAGAAGTGGAGGTGGGGTGGGCAAGGGCAGGCCCTGCAGCAGGGGTCCTGTAATTATGTGTACATATCTGTAAAACGGGCTGCTGTCTGCGTTCTCTATCCACTGGGTGTGCATTGATTTAGACTTCTCCACTGCAGGGAGATTCTGTGAAATCGTCTGATGGTTTTTGCGGAAGAAAAAATTAATGTCCTTCCCTCCCCTTTAGTGTCAATCCAATAAATGTATGTGAACTTCAGCAGTCACCAGGTCTGTCTGCTTGCCTGCACCCCCTTGTCCCTGTGGGCTCTTCCAGGAGATTCCCCACTCTGCAGCCCAGAGGGTGTGAGGAAGGGCCTCCTGCGTATCCCTGGCGTGCAGAGGAAGGCTTGGGTGTTTGGAGTACTAGGGGCACAGTGGCCTTGGCCTTCAGATATTAATGAGGCTAGGTCTCTGGGAAGCCTGTGACCCCTGCTGCACTTTCATTTTCACTCTGGTCCCAGGAAGGTTTTTACCCTGGGTCTGGCAGAGGGCTTGTGTTTCAAATGCACCTGAGGTTTCTCCCCTCCTAGTTTAGACTAAGGGCACAGCCTGGGCAGATCTGGGCACTGAGTGCTTAAGAAACCTGTGTTTCTGTGTGCGGGGGTTTTGTGGTTCTTGTGATGTATTTTTGTGTTTGTCTGGGTTGGCACATATCCTTGCCTTTTCTTAAAAAAAAAAAAAAACTATTTCAGGATACATGTATTTTTATTTTTCTGTGCGACTGGTCACTGTCTCCCTGTCTCTAAGAGGAGACTCATTTCTTTTTGGCCACTATAGGGCCTTCTTTGGAACCTTCTCCCCACAGTCAGAGTGAAAGGCTCCGACTAAGGACTATAAAACCTCTCTCTTCTCCAGTCCACAAGCTTAGGTGTTCTTTGAAGGCGAAGCTGAAGGAGAGGCAGTGAGTCGCTCTCTGTGGAAGTAGACCCTCCCTCCCTTGAGTCTTGAGTTTCACTGCCTGTTGCTGAACACAGATCCATTGGTGTCTTTGGAGTCTTCCCTAAGCCTGTTGAGCCTCCCAGCTCTCTGCCTGTGTACTGGGACTCCCGGTGGCCAGTCTCTTGCAAGGTATTGCTTTGGGTGAAGCAAAGATGGTTGCTGAGCTCTTTTCTCTGCACATTCCAGCAAGGTCATAGGAGAGGGGGAAAGGTGGATTTGCAGGAAGAGGCGGGTCAGCCTTCACAGGACACGGACACATGTAGAGATGAGAAGTTGGAGATGAAGGGCCCAGAGGAAGAAGACAGGATCAGAGACTCAGATGCAGAGCATTTGAGAGGGCTGGGACAAACAGGCCTCTTCAGCTAGCAGCTCAGCAGCTAGGAGAGTAGGCAAGAAGGAGGAGGGAGAGACTCCTGTAGAAAGAGGGTTAGAATCTATATGAGGCTGGAAAGAATGCACTGAGCTGGAGAAAGGTCTTGGGATCTCTTAGTCTCTCATCCCCTGTACCAGTGGAGAGACAAAGTTAAGGGTGCATAAAGGTACTGGTATTCCCTCTGCCAGGTGCTGCTCCTCTCTCCTCCATCTTGTTGAGAGACTGAGAGCAGAGGGAGGTTGAATGCAGTGGCCATCTGTCCACCGTTTTCCCCAAAAGGTCCAGGGGAGGTAAGGTTAGATTCCACAGTAAGATGGGGTAAATGTCCGCCGACCCTGGGATGATGGCCACTGGTTGGCTGTTTAACTTCCGTTGCTCTGAGCTTGATTTCGTTTCTTTTCATTCACTGGAAGAAGGGCGAATGACCGTTTGCTTTCAGTAGAACACTTTGTAGCTACATGATCTTATTTACCACGAATGTCACTCCCAGATACTAGGCTGGAGCTTTATAGTAAGAGGTTTTTCTTCTCTAGAAGAGAGAACATTCCTATGCGATGGTGGATAGATACTTTTGCAATGGCTGTTTCCAGAAGCAGGAGTAGATCCTTCTGAATTCCTGTGTGTCTTTGTGAAAGTGTGTGCGTATGAATTTATCTCCGCATATTGCTTGGTGTCTGTTTGTCAGCAGATCCGCATCAGGAACATGTAGAAAGAAGAGGATTAGGGAAGAGGAGCGAGATGTACCCTTATGGGGGCTTCTAGAAATTTCAGGACCCCAGCCCCATGGCTCCTACTCCAGTAGTGGAGTAGGAGTGGCTCTAAAAGGGCGGACCTGGGTCCTATATGATTATGGGCCGGAGAAAAGCTATTGATGCCCAATGAGCCTAGGGAAATATCCAGGAAGAGAATGCGAGGAAGCCACAGAGACTCCAGATACTGAAAGCCAGGGTTGGCAGGGCAGGGATGGGTG